CTTTTAAGAAAGATATCTTTATTAATTCATTTACTCATTTGTTCATTAATTCAAGGAGTAACCAATATTTATTTACTGAGTACCAGGTGCTTGAGTTTTTTATGCAACCTTGACCAGAGGTTTATTAAAGATCACAATTTAACAAATAAGAAAATTCAGGTACAGAGAACTTTATGCCCAACATCACTGACTTTTCTCTCATTATATTCTATACTCTCTTCACTGTACCATACTTCCTCTCATTTTGCAAACATTTAATGGGCTTATTTTCTGTGCCAAAACTGGTGTTAGGTGTTAGGGCAAAGAAGATGAATGAAACACTATCATATATGAACATGCATGTGAAATTATAAAGCATCATATGTACATTGATTTCTTTTCTTCCTAATAAGAAGAAATTCAATCTAGTGGAAGAAACAGGAATAAATAAATTTGTCCTCCAAATTTCTCTTGCCTACTTTTACCTCCTCTGCCAAGCTTGTCCTTCAACCTGAATTTGACCTTTCACACTCTGAAGTTTGCTCACTGACCTAGTCATTCAGATTCTTCTGCATACTTTACAATTAATTCATTCATCAAACATAAGGGGGTCTTCTATTCAAAGCAGAATTCTAGGTTGATACTAGGGATACAAACATGAACAAAACTCAGTCAAGTGGAAGAGATAAAGAATAATTTCAGGCTGGGTGCAGTGGCTCATGCCTGTAATCCCAGCACTTTGGGAGCCTGGGGCAGGAGGATTGCTTGAGTTCAGGAGTCTGAGACCAGCCTCAGCATCAAAGTGGGAGCCTGTCTCTTTGAAAAACAAACAAACAAAAATTAGCCAGGTGTGATGGCACACACTTGTAGTTCCAGCTACTTGGGAGGCTGAGGTGGGAGAATTACTTGAGCCTAGGAGCTTGACTATGCAGTGAGCTGCTATCGTGCTACTGCACTCTAGCCTCAAAAAAACAAAAACAAAAACAAAAACAAAAAACAAAAAAACAAAAAACAAAAAACAAACAAACAAACAAAAAACTAACTTCAGAGCAATGTGAGAACTGACAAGGATTGTAAGATTGTGGGGAAAAGAGGTATAAGACTGTAGGGAGGAAATGAGGTAGTGGTCTTAGCCGGAGATCAAGAAGGAGTAAGTGATCTTAAATAGGGAAGAAGTATATTTCAGACGGAAGGCACATACAAAGGGACACAGGTACCTTCTGGAGCCACGAGTGATGAGCTGTGCTGAAGGCATGGCACCTGAGGAAGCCAAAGAGTCGGGAGTCAGAGAAGGCATTTGGATGCAAATGAGATCTATTGGACTGTACGCTATTGGCACTAAGGAACTACTGCCTTTCCCCCCACCCTTCTCATACAGGACTATAACCCAGAATTGTGTTATAGAAGGAGTTGTGTTATAGAAGGATTGCTTCAAGTTCCCCTTTGAGGAGCTCCACAGGAAATAAGCCATTTAGGAGACAGGTCCCCATTTCTCTGGGCTCACCATTGCTTCCAAGAAAAAAAAAAAAATCCCCAAAAGAATGGCAAATTTTACAAGGGAAGGAGCTATTTCTCAGTGTTCTTTAGACTTTAATAGAGTATTATGTACTGTCATTTTTTTTTTAGGTTGACAAAAGTAATACATTGTCTCTGGTGACTCCCTGAATGCTCCTTTGTAGCTTAATAGTTGAGGCTGATATTCAGAATACCTGGACAGCTATGGATGGCAGGGGCTTCTCTAGGCTAACTTTAGCTCTCTTGTCTCCTGAATAATTTGAGGGGTGGCAAGGGATGCAGTCTGTTAACCTCTTTGAGACTGTACAACAGAAATACATTACATTTGACTTAATATAAACTCAACAGTTATTTAAGGAGTCCTACTGTGGTCCTTGTCCTTTACAGATACAAAGATAAAAGTAAGCAACAGTCTCTATCCTTGAGAAACGCATTGGGAAATAAGGCTGGCTGACGTGGCTCACGCCTGTAATCTCAACATTTTGGGAGGCCGAGGCGGGAGGATCACCTGAGTTCCAGAGTTCCAGACCAGCCTGGGCAACCTATTGAGACCCCCTCTCTACTCTGCCCCCCAGAAAAAAAAGGGTGTGATGGCTCATGCTTGCCCAGTGCCTGCGGTCCCCAAAACAACAAAATACAAAACAAAAGGAAGAAAGAGGAAATAGAGATTTTAACTTAAGTATAATAAAATTTGCTCATACTATGTTAGCTGTATGAACAAAATGCTGTGGGAAATAGGGGAGTAATATAGCTCACAAGGTTGCTGTGGGGGTTAACAACAAAAAGGGAAATATATGTGTAAATGAAAAAAAGTCAGTCTTAGGCTTAATTATCACTGAGTAAACATTGCCTTTACATTATTTTGGCGATCTGGAGAACCGGCAGCCCTCGCCATTCAGGAGTTGTTAGCTCCCTAAGCGTCAGGTTTCTTTAGTCTGGCTGAACCAAAAGGAGTTTCTGCTTAACTAGGCAGGGCCGGGGACAACAGCTTCTGCGAGCCTGCGATTGTGATGGCAGGTATACTCGGCGGTTTACGGTAGTGGGCGGGCCCCCAAATCCCCATGTGGTCCCGACATCATTGACATGGCGGAATCCCCCATCAAACCCTCCTGGTAGTTATTTGAGCGGCGGCGGCGGCGGCGGCGGC